TTTTAGAAGGTCCCAATCATCTGGTTTCTCTTCTGCTGTTTGTGCATTTTGAGTTATTTTTGATAGTCTATTTATGCCATATATTGTTGTTGTTGTTATGTGCCATCTAGTTGGCCCCGACTCATAGCGACCCCTCCTTGGGTTTCCGAGGCAGTATCACTACGGAAGTAGATTGCCCCATCTTTCTTCTGAGGAGTGACTGGTGGATTTGAACCACCAACCTTCTGGTTAGCAGTCAAGTGCCTTAGGCACTATGCCATATATTAGGGCCCTAAATTTGCCCCTATTTTTCCTTGAAGAACCCTATAGTTTTAGGTTTCACATTTAAGTCTTTGATCCATCCAGAGTTTGTTTTTGTGTGTAGTGTGAGGTACAGATCTTGTTTCATTTTTCTGCAAATGGATCTCCAGTTTTGCCAGCACGGAAATGGGCTTTTTAAAATTTGGCTTTGTTATTAATATATTTTCAAATGGATCCAAGGTCATATCAAGGTGTGTTCAAAGAGATTTGTCTCCTTCAGCCTGCAGCCTCTCTCACCTAATAAACCAAAAAAACCAAACTCATTGCTTTTGAGTCAGTTCCTACTCCCTTATGAGAAGCTATCTCTACAGAAGTAGATTGCCCAGTCTTCCTTCTGAGGAGTGGCTGATGGGTTTGAACTGACAGCTTTCTGGTTAGCAGTCAAATGCCTCAGGCACTGTGATAGTTGGAGCTGTGTGTCAACTAGGCTGGACCACATTTCTGTGTGGTTTAAGCAATTGTGATGTGGGTTGTTCCCATAATGGGATCAGATGTACGTTTTGAGCAGCCAGTCTGTTGAAGGGAGTTTCCCTAGGGGTGTGCCCTGCTTCCAATATATTTATGGACAACCTGGGCAAAGAGACACTCTTCTGTGGATTGGGATTCTGCTGTGCTACCTACAACTGTCCATGAGCAAACAATCCACCATTCAGCCTGGAGATCTTGGATTCATCATTCGTTGGAGTCAACAGCCAGTATACTGCCTGCCAACCTTGAGTTTGTCAGCCCCTGCAGGTGTGTGAGTTGGGGAAAGCCTCCAGCTTGACGTTTGATCCAAGAACTTGGGACTTGCCAGCTTCTGTACGTGTGTGAGCTGTTTTCCTAAGATAAATTTATTTCCTTCTCTTTCTCTCTCTCTATGAACTTTACTCCTTTGCTTCTCTAAAGAACCCAGTCTAATACAGGCACTGTGCCACCAGAGCTCCTCTCTCACCTAATACGTAACAGTATTTTAATGTTATCCTTCCATTGTTATTATTATTATTATTTTTTAAATGATAAGCATACATATATGTATTCTTACCAGTTACAACTTGCTGTTGAGAATGCCCTGACTCATGGTAAGTCTGCGTATATCTCAGGAGACCAGTGCTCTGCAGGGTTTTCGATGCTGGTTTTTCAGAAGTCGATTGACAGGCCTTTCTTCTGGAGGTGACTCGGGGTGAACTCGAACTTCCAACCTTTTGGTTAGCAGTTGAGAGCTTAAACTGTTTGCAACACCCAGAGATTCTGCAGGTACTCTTCCCCCTCCTCCCCTCATTACATAAATAGTAACATACTAAGCAGAATTTTCTCTACTTTGTCTTTTTTTCACTTAAAAATATACCCTAAAGGAAAGATCATTCCATTGTGATCTTTGCCTTGTTTTCCAGCTGCCTGCATAATGTTCTAAGTTTTCTTTTTTTCTGGTTTTTGGTTCTGTGATTCTGTATTTTCTTGATAGCTCCCTGATACCTCCAATCATATTGTTTCTAGTTCTCAGCATCAGAGTTGGTCTGAGTTGTCCAGTCTACCATTACTGGAAATGGAATCAATAGTATACAATCTAAGATGGAGACAATAGTATAGTACTTAAGATACTTTTAAAATAGTGACTTCTAGTCCTTAAAATCCTTAAATCCAGTTGTGTGAAATTGAGGTAGGTCGATGCAGGCATACACTGTAGCCCAGAGATGGATTCATGTTCCTCACCACATGGGTATCTCCAGAGGGTTACTCATCACAAGGGCTGGCTTCTTTCCTCTGGAGGAATTGATCCAAGAGGGAGTGAGAGTGATCACAGAAGCCTCTGTGTCTTTTATAATTTAATCTTGGAAGGGCATACTTTCATTTCTGCTGTATTCTATTGATCAACCCTGTAGCAACGTGGATGAGGCTATAAACCAAAACCCAAATTTACTGCCATCAATTTGATTCTGACTCATAATGTCCCTATAAAATAGATGAGAGCAGCCCCATAGGGTTTACAAGGCTATAATCTTTATGAAAGCAGACTGTCACATCTTTTGAACTGCCAACCTTTTGGTTAGTAGCCAAATGCTTAAATATTGCACAACCAGGACTCCTTGGATGGGGCTGTGTTGTTGGGTGCTCTCCCTATCTGCACGTCCATAGAGTCAATTCCAACTCAGTGACTCCCATTTGGGTTTCCAAGGCTGTAAATCTTTATGGGAGTACATTGTCCATCTTCCTTCAGTGGAGCAATTGGTGGGTTTGAACCACCCACCTAGCAGTGGGGGCAGGGAGGAGTGGGGAGTACCTTGGTCTTCTCAGGAATCGGTGGACAAAGGTAGAGGTTAACCTATAAACTCAAACTGCCCACCAAGCATCTAGATAAGCAGGCAAGGATCCAATATTCATCTCTAATTGGTAAGATAAAGTAATTTGGTTCTAATTTCTTTGCTCTTCTCTATCTCTATCCCAACAACATTAGATACATTTGTGGAAACACGCCTATAATAAAAAGGGACAAAAAAAAAAAAAAAAACCAAAAACCCCAAACCTAACTCACTGCTGTCCAGTCCGTCCGGACTCATAGAGCCCTCCTTGGGTTTGTGAGGCAGTATCTCTACAGAAGTAGATTGTCCAGTCTTCCTTCGGAGGAGTGGCTGGTGGGTTTGAACCGTCAGTGTTCTGGTTAACAGTCAAATGCCTTAGGCACTACATCCCCAGTATCTATGTTACAAAACAGAAATCTAAATGGATGATGACCTGGGGCAATTTCCCTTAAACGAGTGTTTATCTGACATTCATCAATTATCCTATGAAGGCCTAAGAATTGTGACAGTGTAACCTGTGAGGGAAACAGACATTGGCCAAGTAGTTTACTCAGCTCTTTAGTCTTGGCATTAATTTCTGAGTTAGGATGTTAGATTTACTAATTCTGGTTTCCAGTGTTTGCAAGGTACAAGATTTGGCAGCAGGTTATTTCAAAAACTGTAAAGCCAAATGGTACCTTTTGTATCAATTGAGAAACACTTAGCCCTATTGAAACTGCCTTTGTCTACAAGCGCGGATAAAATGAGTGACAGTTCTCTTTGGAAAGCATGGGTGGCTCTGAAAAGAGCCGTTGGGTAGGTTTGGACGATCAGCTAGGTGCACAAGCCAGCGGTTCACTTAGAGCTGGTGTATTTGGTGACGGCCTTGGTGCCCTCAGACACGGCGTGCTTGGCCAGCTCCCCGGGCAGCAGCAGGCGGACGGCAGTCTGGATCTCCCTGGAGGTAATGGTGGAGCGCTTGTTGTAATGAGCCAAGCGAGACGCCTCACCCGCGATGCGCTCGAAGATGTCGTTGACGAACGAATTCATGATGCCCATGGCCTTGGACGAGATGCCGGTGTCTGGGTGGACCTGCTTCAGCACCTTGTATACGTACACGGAGTAACTCTCTTTGCGGCTGCGCTTGCGCTTTTTGCCGTCCTTCTTCTGAGCCTTAGTCACCGCCTTCTTGGAGCCCTTCTTAGGAGCAGGAGCAGACTTGGCAGGCTCAGGCATGTTTGGAGTTAACTACGTTAGCCTCTTAAGAAAACAAGGAATGAATGCGAAGCTGGATATGATCTTTTATTCACATCTCTTATGCAAAGCAGGTTTTCAGTAAAGTCATGTGTTTGATTGGTGGTGAAGTCTGGATGACATAACTATTAATTTGTCCAATCAAAATAAGTGTACTTTAAAATCACGATTCCACCGGTTCAAACAAATTAGTAATTATAGCCAATGGCATAGCTTTATTTTCGCGCCCTGTGATATGTGTAAGTACTGCAGCTCTAGTTTTTTTCACCTTAGTCTAATTACGCTATAGTATTGTGGCGTCATTTCTGGACGTGGCAACAGGGCGCCAAGGCCAAAGAATCGCTCCTCTCGCGCTGGGCTCCAGTTTCCCGTGGGCGGAGTGTATCTCCTGCTCGGCAACTACTCCGCGCGGGTTGGGGCCAGCGCTCGCATGTACCTGACCACCGAGATCCTGGAGCTGGCGGGCAACGCGGCGCGCAACAAGATGCTCATCACTCCGCGCCATCTGCAGCTGCTGGCCATTCTCAACAAGGAGCTCAACAAGTTTCTCGGGCAAGGTGGAGTCTTGCCTAAGTCTAGGCTATATGTTCCCAAAGACCGAGAGCCACAAGGCAAAGAGCAAATTAGTTACAACCAAAGGCTCTTTTCATTTTCCGAGTCACGCACTATTTCTCTTGGGGCAGTTGGCCACTTTTTTTTTTTTTTACTACCCAAAGCTTGTTCTGTGTGTGCAAGTGTCGTGGAATCAAATATTTGAAAATTTCGTGCCTGTTTCTCTAGGGGTAAGATGGAACATAGAGTGCACAGCTTTTTTGCATAGTTGGGTGGCTCTGAAAAGAGCCTTTGGGGTTTGTATAAGCAGGCCACAACTTCCTATTTCTTCTTAGGAGTTGCCTTCTTTGCCTTTGCAGGCTTAGGCTTCGCTGCCTTAGGCTTACTGGCCTTGGGTTTGGCTGCTTTAGGCTTAACAGCCTTCGGCTTAGTAGAACTCTTGGCCGCCTTTTTCGGTTTGGTGGAAGACTTGGCCTTCTTAGGGCTCTTGGCCACCTTTTTAACACCCGCCGCAGCAGGCTTCTTCGTTTTCTTCGGCGTCTTTTTCACTGCCTTCTTGGCTCCTGTCTTTTTGGGTTTCTTAGGAGTAGCTCCGGCGGGCTTTTTAGCCTTGGCAGTGCCAGCCTTCTTGGCTTTGGGTTTTGGTTCCCCAGAGGCTGCCTTCTTGTTGAGCTTGAAGGAACCCGAGGCGCCGGTGCCTTTTGTCTGCACCAAGGTGCCCTTGCTCACTAGGCTTTTCAGGCCTAGCTTGATGCGGCTGTTGTTCTTCTCCACATCGTAGCCACCAGCTGCTAACGCCTTTTTAAGCGCAGCCAAAGACAAGCCATTGCGCTCTTTGGAAGCGGCCACAGCCTTAGTGATCAGCTCGGAAACAGGAGGACCCGCCGCCTTGCGCTTCGCGGCACCACCAGCCGACTTCTTGGCTGCTTTCTTTTTGGCAGGAGACTTCTCCACAGGTGCCGGAGCTGCGGTCTCAGCAGGAGCCGTTTCGGACATGGCGATAAGAAAATACACAGAAGAAAAGATTTCAAATCCAAGGATAGCAAGTTTTGCAATGCTGACTCGCTCCGGCCTGGGGCTTATATAAGGCGGCGCTGCCCTGTGATTGGTGGAGCGTCCAATCCACCACCCTCGGGCAGACTCGGTTCCGCGTTGGTCTCCAAAGTTGTGTTTGTTAGCCTCCAAAATTTAATTAAATGAGAGAAACAATGGTACTGAATTTGGCGCTTTGAAGCTCCAAAAGAGGAAAAGAGCCTACAGGTTCACAAACTTATTTGTGTTTTTATGAACTCTGCGTAAACGATGAAAGATATTTTAAAAAATCCCTTTAGCTTTGCGTATAAATCCACCTGGCTGGTGACATCGCGATAGTTAGTTGTATGTTGCAATAAATTCCTACTAAATGTTAATCTAAAATTTCCTAGAAGGATATGTTCCGGGGTTCGGCTTTTGATTTTTACCGAAGAAGGGACACTAAGTTACTTGGATTTGGCATAAACTTTGTTTGTAAATGTGGTAAGTAACACAGGCACAGGGCAATTGGTTCCCTAATGCCCCAAATTAACCACACAGACCGTGTTTAAAAACCGGTTCTGCCTTCTCGTAATTTCAACGTGCTTCTGTATTTAGTGAACAGGGACTGTGCAGCTTGGAAAAACTCAATGGCCCGGTGAGTTCCTCCCATTGCAGCAAGAGAATGGAGATCTCTTGCTTCAGTCTCTGAAGGCTAGATTCAAGTTCAAATTTAAATTTGGTATGTAATCTGAGGTTCTTTCTCTTTTTCATTCCTGGGCAAGTCCATTAAAACGAGGACAAAAATTGCTAACTTCAGATACTTCACTTTAGATAAATCTCCTAAACCTGCTGAAAATTATTCATGGGCTCCCAGTAGCCTCCAGAATAAAGCTCATATTATTTAGACGACTACCGCTCCTGTCAGGCTTTCAGGACACATTCCCTAATGCTCTTACTAAACCCCTTATGTCTATCAAACGTTAATCAGTTGCATGGTCATGAAAATCATCTTCTAGAAGATATCAAGATATCTTGAAGATATCAAGGTGGATGTTTGTGTGTTTTTAAACTGGGAGGGATCCATAGAAAAAGAACAGGCTATTTTGAGAAGCATTGTTGTTTGTTGTTATTTGCCATTGAGTCGGACTCGACTCATAGCAACCCCCTCCTTGGGTTTCTGAGGTAGTATCTCTACAGAAGTAGATTGCCCAGTCTTCCTACCAACAGGGTCACCTAAGGTGAACAGATTTCAGAGAGCTTACAGAGTATAAAACAGACTAGGAAGAGGGACTTGGTGATGCACTTAAAAAAAATATAATAATGATAATAATAATAAAACAGGTCAGTGAAAGCCCTACAAACCTACAAATAACAGCATACAATTGTCTGATATAGTGCCAGAAGAGGAGTCCCTTAGGGAGAAAGGCACTCAAAATACAACTGGGGAAGAACTGCCTTCTCAAAGTAATGAAGTACAGCTTTTGAGACCTTCATGTGCTGATGCTGTTGTTGTTGTTGTTGTTATGTGTGAGAAATGTCATGCTGATGTGGCACTACTCAATCTGAGAAGAGCTGCAAACATACATTAATAATTGGAAAATAGAATGTATGAACTATGAATATAGGAAAATTGGAAGTGTAAAAAATGAGATGGAATACTTGAAGATTGATATCCTAGGCATTAGTGAGCTGAAATGGACTGGTATTGGCCATTTTTAATTGGACAATCATATGGTCTAATATGCCAGGAATAACAACTGAAGAAGAATGGTGTCTTTTTCATCATCAAAAAGAACATTTCAAAAATATATCCTGAAGTACAATGCTGTCAGTGATAGGATAACATCCATTCACATACAAGGAAGATCTGATAATATGACTTATTAACACATATATGCACCAACCACTAAAGCTAAATATGAAGACATTGAAGATTTTTACCAATGTTTACAGTCTTAAATTGATCAAATATGCATTATCAGGGTGCATTGATAATTACTGATGATTGGAATGTGAAATTTGGAAACAAAGAAAGATCAGTAGTTAGGAAATATGACCTTGGTGATAGAAATGATGCTGGAGTTTGAATGAAAGAATTTAGTAAGAGAAATTCATTCATTCATTGCAAATGTCTTTTTTTGACAACATAAATGGGGACTATACATGTGGACCTTGCTGGATGGAATACATGGGAATCAAATGGGCTACATCTGTGGAAAGAGACAATGGAGAATCTCAATATCATCACTCAGAACAAGGCCAGAGGCTGACCGTGGAACAGACCATCAATTGCTCATATTCAAGTTCAATTTGAAGCTGAAGAAAATTAAAACAAGTCCGTGGGAACCAAAGTACAACCCTGAGTATGTCCCACCTGAATTCTTGAGACCATCTCAAGAAACAAATTTGACCTATTGAACACTAATGACTGAACGCCAGACAAGCTGTGGGATGACATCGAGGACATCATATATGAAGAATACAAAAGGTCATTAAAAAGACAAGAAAGAAAGAAAGAAAAAGACCAAAATGGATGTCAGAAGAAACTGAAATTTGCTGCTTGAATGGAGAGTAGCTAAAGTGAATAAAAGACATGATGAAGTAAAAGAGCTGAATAGAAGATTTCAAAGGGCAATTGAGAAGACAAAGTAAATCATTACAATGAAATGTGCTAATACTGGAGTTAGTTAGAAAACCAAAAGGGAAGAACACATCTGTCATTTCTCAAGCTGAAAGAACTGAAGAAAAAAATTTGTGCCTCGAGTTGCAATATTGAGGGACTCTGTGGGAAAAATATTGAATGATGCAGGAAGCATTAAGGAAAGATGTAGGGATATGTAAAGTCACAGTACCAAAAAGAATTAGTAAATATTCAACCATTTCAACAGATAGCATATGATCAAGAACTGATGATATTGAAGGAAGAAATTGAAGCTGTAATTAAAGCATTGGTGAAAAAAAAAAAAAAGCCTCCAGGAACTGACAGTATACCAATTGAGATGTTGCAATGAACAGATGCCGCTCCGAAAGTACTTGTCTATGCCAAGAAATTTGGAAGACAACTACATGGCTGGCTGACTGGAAGAGATTCATATTTGTGCCCATTTCAAAGAAAGGAATAAAAAAAAAATATATAGAAATCACCAAACAATATCATTAATATCACACACAAATAAAATTTTACTGAAGATTAGAAAAAACAATTGCAGCAGTATAACAACAGAGAACTGCATGGAATTTAAGCCGGATTCAGAAGAGTATGTGACATCATTGCTGATGTCAGATGGATCTTGACTGAAAGCAGAGAATAGCAGAAAGATGTTCCCTTGTGTTTACTGACTAAGCAAAGGCATTCAACAAATTATGGATAACATTGTGAAAAACAGGAATCCCAGAACATTACACTGTGTTCATGAGGACATATACAAAGAGGCATTGGTTGGAACAGAACAAGGGAATACTGTGTTTAAAATCAGGGAAGGTGTGTGTTAGGGTTGTATCTTTCATAGTAATTAATTCAACCTTGTGCTTAGCAAATAATCCAAGAAGCTGGACTATATGAAAAAGAATACAGCATCAGGATTGGAGAAAGACTCATCAACAACCTACAATATGTAGGTGACACAACCTTGCTTGCTGAAAGTGAGAGGACTTGAAGTACTTACTGAGGAAGATCAAAGACTAGTCTTCAGTATGGATTACACCTCAACATAAAGAAAAAAATCCTCACAACTGGACCCATAAACAACATCATGATAAATGGAGAAAAGATTGAAGTTGTCAAGGATTTCATTTTACTTGAATCCGTGATCAACACCTATGGAAGCAGAATTCTAGAAATTAAATAACATATTGCATTGTGAAAATCTGTTGCAAAAAGACCTCTTTAAAGTGTTAAAAAACAAAGATATCAGCTAGAGGAGTAAGGTGTGCTAGACATGTTCTCTTCCATAGCCTCATATGCATGTGAAAGCTAGACAATGATTAAGGAAGACTGAAGAAGAATTGATGCCTTCGAATTATGGTGTTGGCTAAGAATATTGACTATACCATGGATACCAGAAGAATAAACAAATTTGTCTTGGAAGAGGTACAGCCAGAATGCTACTTGGAAGCAAAGGTGATGAGACTTACTTGGTCTCACATACTTTTCACATGTTATCAGGAGGGCGTTCCTGGAGGACATCCTGCTTGGTAGAAGATCAGCAAAAAGGACGAAGACTTTCAATGAGATGGATTGAAACAGTGACTGCAACTGTGGCCTCAAATATGGCAAAGATTGTGAGAATGCCGCAGAACCAGGCAGTGTTTAGTTCCGTTGTACATGGGGTCACTATCAGTCAGAACCTACTTGATGGCATGTAACAACAGAACCATTTCACAGCTGCAAATCTGAAGCCTAGAGAGAAGACAAGTAACTTGCCCAGGGTTATAAAGTTAGTAACTGGCTGTTCTATGAGCCTAAATCATTTGGCCTCACTCTGTTATGCTGAGAAGGTAATGGGGGGTAGAGAGGAAGGCTATCACTGAAGGTTGAAAGAGACAGTAATTTGACTTTACACCTAGCAGACAACCACTAAAGGTTTTTAGGTTACAGAATTCTATTGCCTCTTATGCATGTGACAGCTGGACTATAAATAAAGAACACTGAAGAGTTGATGCTTTTGGGTTGCAGTGTTGGAGAAGAATGCTAAGAGTACCATGGTCTGCTAAAAGGGCTAACAAATCTGTCTTGGAAGAAGTGCAGCCGAAATGCTCCATGGAAGTGGTAATGTCCAGACTTCATCTCACCAACTTTGGCCATGTTGTCAGAAGGAACCATTCCCTGGAAAAGAATATCATGCTTGGTAAAGTGGAGGGTCAACAAAGAAGGAGAAGGTTCTCAACAAGATGGATTGACATAGTGGCTGCAAGGATGGGCTCAGGTATAGCAAAGATCTTGGAGCTGGCACAGGATCGGGCAGTGTTGTGTTCTGTTGTACATACGGTCACTATGAGTTGGAGACAACTCCACGGTATCTAACAACAGATTAGAGAATATGTAGGAAGAGATGCTTGGCCTTATCCCTTTGAATTGTTTTTGTTGAATCAATACCAATAGTTTTTGAAATCTCCAGAAACAGCCAGTGGCTGGGATTTAAGCCTCTTTGGAAGGCCAAATTGAGGAAGAGCTGGGGGCAGCCTTATTTCTCATTTGCCCCAAAACAGTGAGGAGAAAATTTGGCTTGATGTAACTCTTTGTTACATCAACACTGCCTTCTGAAGTGAAGATATATACCCCAAGAAGTAAACAGTAAAATGATGTTGTGGTTATAGAAGATGAGATCAGCAGACTGTAACAGGCAAAATATTGGACAAGATTAATAAATGTGTTAGAAAACCTAGTTTCTGTGCAAACTAGGAAGAACTGCTTTCTGATGCCATATTGGTTTTCAATTACGTGTCTGCTTTTTTATTTGTGAGGGAAAATAATGAAAACCCACTGTCAAAGAGCTTTAACAGGGCATTGTGAACAGTTTTGGAGGGAGAGGGAGGTCATTTGGCAAATGACAGCTTGCAGTCGATTGCAAGTAGCCAGGCCTTTTAGCCGCCCCACCCTTCCCTAGAGGCTATGGAAAACATCACATTGTAACAGAATACCCCTTAGCAGCATAACGTAATTAAATTATCGCTGTGGGATTGGCGTTTAAAGTATGGCTTAGTAACATTGTTTATATGAAGCTACGATCTATATTCCGTTAGTAACAACTCTCTTGGTGAAAACTGAGGGGCTCTGAAAAGAGCCTTTGGGGGGGATGTAAATAATTGTGGACTAATGAAAAATTCAAGCTCTCTCGCCGCGGATGCGGCGGGCCAGCTGGATGTCCTTGGGCATGATAGTGACGCGCTTGGCGTGGATGGCGCACAGGTTGGTGTCCTCGAAGAGCCCCACCAGGTAGGCCTCGCACGCCTCCTGCAGTGCCATCACAGCCGAGCTCTGAAAGCGCAGATCGGTCTTGAAGTCCTGAGCGATCTCGCGCACCAGCCTCTGGAACGGCAGCTTGCGGATCAGCAGCTCGGTGGACTTCTGGTAGCGCCGGATCTCTCTTAGGGCTACTGTGCCTGGCCGGTAGCGATGAGGCTTCTTTACGCCTCCGGTGGCCGGCGCGCTCTTGCGGGCTGCCTTGGTGGCCAGCTGTTTCCGCGGCGCCTTGCCACCGGTAGATTTGCGAGCTGTCTGCTTTGTACGAGCCATGACCTATAAGATGTGGCCGCTTCACACAAGAAATGAGTGAAAGAGGTGGTAGTCCGGGTATTTATAGCCACTCCCGCGTTCTGATTGGACAGTCTACACTACTCGGAATCTGCTGCCGGGTTCATTGTCTAACACAAAATATTCCACGTTAGCACGTCAGTGTAGGAAATGCATAAAGAAGATATTTTACTTTCTTAAAAAAATTATTTAAAAGGTTCTTAGATTTGCGTGTATCAAAGTTACAAGGAAATATTCGCTTGGGTATCGGAACTTCTTTTCCGCTATTTTAAATTTTTTTAGGGTGCTAAAGGAAGGTTGGGCAATCCTACTTCCGTAGTGATACTGCCTCGGAAACCCAAGGAGGGGTCGCTATGAGTCGGGGCCGACTCAACGGCACATAACAACAACAACAACAAATGAGTGTTTATTATATTTTACTCTGATTTGGATGAAAGTTTACAGAGCAAATTCATTTACCATACAGTTCATACAAAATTTGTTTCAGGACATTGACTGCAATTCCCCACTACGTTAACAGCTCCTTCCCACTTCCTGAGGTTACTCTTCCCTGTGTCCTTTCCTAGGCATTCCTGCTAACCCCTCCCCATCTCCCTGTGCAAACACTGCCTTTCTGCTCTCCCATGATCTCTCCAAAGGGTGTTATCTACCTGACATAAAAGTTCACCCCATATGCCTGTCTATTGTTGGGCTGGAAGCCACAGGATTGAAGGGTAACTAAGAGCCACAGTCTCGAGGAGTCTTCCGCTTTTTTAAAAAGGTGTTATGACTGGATTCTTGGCACAAAATTTATTGATTTAAGAGAACTGAGACTAAGGAAATTAACTTGTAAATGGAGGTTTTGAAGTGGTTCAGAATTTGAGTCATTGTGTGCTACACTAATACGGTCTAGTCAGTATACTTAGCTTTGTCAGTAGTGCTGTGCCGTTTACTACCGTGTCGTGGCGCGAAAGGAGTACCAGGACAAAGCGTGCAAAATGCTATAGATTGGGCTGCCAGCGTTAGTTCACCTACCTGGATTTTAAATGAGTCGTTTATAGTTGCGCTGCTGACGGTTGTCAAAAGTACTAAATCAATCATTTTTAATTATAATCACCTTTTTTGGCAAATTTTGTTGTGCAAACCACATTTAGCTAACGCATCATCATGTAACAAGGGAAAATAAAACCATTAGCCTTTTAAAGTGCACCAAGCTCTTTACCAGACTTCGTGGGTGGCCCTTAAAAGGGCCTTTGGGGAGTGGAAATATCGAAGAGAGCCTTAGCCGCCAAAGCCGTAGAGGGTGCGACCCTGGCGCTTGAGCGCGTAGACCACGTCCATGGCGGTGACCGTCTTACGTTTTGCGTGCTCGGTGTAGGTGACAGCGTCTCGGATTACATTCTCCAGGAAGACTTTAAGCACCCCGCGAGTCTCCTCGTAGATGAGGCCAGAGATGCGTTTAACACCGCCACGACGTGCCAAACGCCGGATAGCAGGTTTAGTGATACCCTGGATATTGTCCCGAAGGACCTTGCGGTGGCGCTTTGCGCCCCCTTTGCCCAGACCCTTCCCGCCTTTGCCACGACCAGACATGACTACGACCTGATAAGCTACTGCCTGCTAATGCTTGAGGTGGTGTTTTATATAGCGTTGTATCGGACCTGTTTGGGGACTCCTCACAGCAGCTATTATCAGCTAGTTCACAGATCTCTAGCCCTGCCTACATTTCCTGGAGAGAGAGAGAGAGAAAAAAATAAAAAATAGAAGAAAGAACGAAAGAAAAGGCGGTGCTTAAACATCTAGTTTATGCCTGAGCAAAAATTACTATTGGATATATAGGGGTCCAACAGCTCTTCCGGCTCTGCGCCTGCGCACCAATGCACGGCCCTTCCTTTGTTCCGGCCGTGCCCTGCAGTTTGCTGCTCGCAGTGAAATCTTAGCATTGAAAGCTCGCCGCTGGAATCGAGGGATCCATCTTGAGAGGAAGGATCTCACTCATTTCAGCTCCTGAAACTGTATAGTGTGTGAAATACTTCCATATAATCCCGATTTAATGCGTCCTCAAAAGTATTTTCCATGTAATCTTGATTTAGCCTAAAAAGAGGCAGACTTCACTTAATGCTGCTTGATTCGATTACAGCTTCAAGGTGGGGCTCCTCACCTTATTAATATTACTGCTAATTTTTTAAATTTTCCATTTAAAATTCATTTGCCATACAACAGTTCCTACACAATTTGTTTCACGACATTGACTGCAGTTCCCCACAATGTAACAGCTCTCTTCCCACTTTCTCCCTGTAGTTACCTCTGCCCTGTGTCTTTCCTTCCCATGCACTCCTGCCCCCTGAGTTGTGGCCCTGTGCAATCACTGCCCTTCTGTTCTCCCATGACAACAGGAGTATAACTACCTGATGTAAATGTTCACCCCATATGCCCTCTGTTTGTCTGGAAGCCACAGGAGTGAGTTTGTTACCGGACCAAACGCGGGTCCCTGCCCGGTGCACAGTCAGGCCAAAACAGTTTACACATGGAGATGGAGAGGAGAGAAAATTATTTATTGCAAAGCAGCAGTGCAAGGAGTTAGGGGTAGTTAGTACCCAGATCTTAACTCCCCAGATGCCATGGAAACACAGTTTTTGTAGGTTTCAGGAGAGGGGGTTGTGCATATACCCAAAAGGTTGAGGAATTTGGGGCGTGAACGTGAAATGGTTGACGGATGAGTCACTAATTTCTTGTTATCAGCTGAAAGGGGCTTGGGCCAGGGGAGAGAGGTCAGCAATTAACTTTTGTTCCCTTATGTCCTGGGACCAGAGGTCATTTACAAGTTGTTTCTAAAACATTTCTATTGTCCATGGCCAGAGTTAATCTACAAGTTATTTCTAAAATACTTTTAGCAAGTCTATCATCTGCAGGGGGAGCTCTGGCAGCATAGTGGCTAAGACACTTGCCTGCTAACCAGACGGGAGGGCTGGCGGTTCAAACCCACCAGCCACTCCTCGGAAGGAAGGTTGGGCAATCCTACTTCCGTAGTGATACTGCCTTGGAAACCCAAGGAGGGGTCGCTATGAGTCGGGGCCGCTCCACTCCACGTCACATAACAACAACAACAACATCATCTGCAGGAAGGAATGTTTTCCATCAGTTCTTTAGGGAACTGAATACTCATCTGCCCGGGTGGGAAAATAGTTGGGGGTAATCCAGTTTACGTATTCCCCTGCAGGGTCTTATCTAATCATCTGTCTTAACTAGGGTGGGGGAAATAGTTGGGGGTGATCCAGTCTACCTATCTATTACCATCCAGGTGCCAGGGTGGGGGAAATAGCATGGGGTTTCAAGTTCAGTTGACCTGAAGGATAACTAGGGCCCATAGTCTCAGGGGTCTCACCAGGCTCTATCAGATCAGTAAACCTGGTCTTGTGTGTGTGTGTGTGTGTGTGTGATTTTGAGTTTTGTTCTAGATTGTTCTCCTGCTCTACTCAGGATCTTCTGCTGCGCTCCTCACCTTTAGCAAAATTCTTTCTTGTTCCTCTTACTTGTTGAGTCACCTTCCCTTCTCCCTCTTTTTCTTGCCACCCCCAGGTACATATTTAGGAAGTGCTGACTTTTGTTTTCTTTCCCTTCATTCCCTTTAGATGCTGTTTAGAAGCTCTTTGAAGGGCCGCTTTCCTTTGCCATTTCCTTGGAGAATGGATGAAAGGATGGGAATGCCTCTCAGAGCTCAGGGATTCCGGACACTCCCCTGTTCCCCTCAAGTAGGACATCAGCTGCACCCAGAAACCTCATCCCTTGAATTTACAAATAAAGTTCAGAATGCAGAGACCTCAGATGACTTTATTTCAGGAAAAGAGTATAAAAAGACACTGTGATTGGTTGGTTTCCAAGATCCAGCTGGAATTCTCTCCCTCAGGACCCACTTGCTTGTGTTCCTCAAAATATCAGATTCTGTTTTTTCCCTGTGAGACTTTGACAGCCTAATGCCCCACACTCCCTCTTCTCTTTTTCTGTCAGTAATGTTTACCTTTTATGTTTCAAGTATGTGTGATTGATTATTCACTTGTTCAAAAATGATCTAATTTTATGCTAAGATTTATTCTCTCCAAGTACATTTTAAACTCTTCTTCGATTAGTGTAGGAGCTCTGGTAGCATAGTGCTTAAGGCACTTGACTGCTAACCAGAAGGCTGGTGGTTCAAACCCACCAGCCACTCCTCGGAAGGAAGATGGGGCAATCTACTTCCATAGTGATACTGCCTCAGAAACCCAAGGAGGGGTTGCTATGAGTCGGGTCCGACTCCACAGCACGTAACAATAACAACAACAATAATGATTAGTGTACATGCAAAACAGTACATGTCCCATGTTCTATCAGTTAACCATTTCTCATTGAACTTCTAGGCTGGCCTCTCTGTCCTTCTGTTAAATAATAATGGAATACCTGTGCTTCTCCTTGAAGATGTAAACCCTATTTCTGCAGGTAAAATAATCCCACCAATCTAAAGAGAAATGTTATCTCTTCCCCTTGAAATACACAAAAACAAGGCAGCATTCTGTCTCATCAAAGAGCAACTGTCCTTGAATATGTTATTTCAATGAAGAAACACTAAGAAACCTTATCCTTATGAGTGTTCATTTATCTAGTGAAGATAAAATACTCTGAAAGAGCTGTGATTATTTTGGTTGTCTTGACAATGTGTCCTGAGTATGATGCTTATATTGTCATTTTCAAAATGTGTACTTGCTTGTGAATTCTCTTTGTTAAATCAGATACTTTGTTATTCTTTTTTCCTACTTGCATTGAGGAAACACATTGGCTGACTCTGGAGATTTCATTATTTAAACAGAGTTTGAGAATCCTGTTGCACTTAAAAAAATATATTTTAATATTTTCTTTTTGTTTTCCTTAGCAAACAATAGTTTTTGGTTTAGCAAACATTGGTGCTAATTGCTGTGACTTGCCCAATATGCCTTTGTTGATTGCATGGAATAAATACTGTGTTTTGTTTTTTTTCTCCTCACGTGATGGGAGATTGAAAACCCTATGGGCACACTTGACTCTGACATAACATAGTGTTGCCATGAGTAGGAGTTGACTCAATGACAACTGGACTAGGAGTTTATGAATTAATGTCTGATCACACAGAAATTGATTTATTGATGTATTGCTAAGTTAAATGAAAAGAAATGTGAGATTCTCCCTCCCCCCAGCCCTGCAGTGCTAGTAATAGCCAGAGGTGACCATACAAGGTCCATAACTGCAAAGCAGCTCTATTTGAGCAGCTAGAGTTTTCATCGTCTTTTGAAATGTGTACCAGTACTAAACCTGTCTTTTGAAATGTGTACCAGTACTAAACCTGTCATAAGCCTGACGGAATAACAACAAAAGAAAATCCTGCTGATTCCTGGGCAACGACTAAGGCAAATACCTGAGGTTCTGGACTATCCTGTGGTGAGGTGTAGAACTGTGGGATGGGGTCATCTCGTATAGTCTAGATGGACTCTGTTAGATGGCTTCTGTCTCTTCTTTTTCCCTATCACATTAATTATGTATTGTGTAACAAATTACTCCAAAACATAGTAGCTTACAAACAACAACTTTATTATCTCATACAGTTTCTGAAGGAGCTCTCTTGGTGTAGTGGTTAAGGCACTTGGTGGCTAGCCAAAAGGTTGGTGGTTCAAACACACAAGCTACTCTGCTAGAAGAAAGATGAGGCAGTCTGCTTCTGTAAAGATTTACAGCTATACATATTTGATGGCAGTAAGTTTGGTTTTGGTCTTGATATAGTTTCGGAAGGTCAGGAATGAGAGAGTGGCTTAGCTGGGTGGTTCTAACTCCCACTGCCATCAATTCAATTCTGACTCATAGTGACCCCTATAGAGTTTCCAAGGCTGCAAGTCTTGCCGAAGTAGATTACCTCATCTTCCTCCCACAGAGCAGCTGGTGGGTTTGAACCACTGACCATCTGGTTAGCAGCCAAATGGGTTCTGACTCAAGGTCTCTCAAAAAGTGAAAAGTCAAGCTTTCAGCAGAGCCTGCAGTCATCTGAGGCTTAACTGGGAGGGGGTGGAGATAGCTCAGCCACATAGTTATTGGTAGTTCCTCACTGACTGTTGGAGAAGGTCAACCTGAGCTTTACAACAGGTGAGTTTCTCTGCTGGGCTGCCTGATCATCCTCCCAACAGGGCAGCCGGGATCCTTCAGAGCAAATGATCTGACAGAGAGAGAGAGCAAGCAGGAAACAGTGTCTTTTTTGACTTAGTCTCTGAAGTAGCTCAGCATCACTTTAGTTTTCTGGTATTTGTTTTATTGCATTGGTTAGAAACCAGTCTAAGTCCAGCCCATAATCAAGGGGAAAGTCATTAGGCTCTACTTTTTGCAGGAAGGAGTTATTTGTTGTGTAGGATTTTATCATTGTTGTTGTTAGGTGCTGTCAAGTCGTTTCCGACTCATAGCAACCCCATGCACAGCAGAATGAAACACCGCCTGATCTCACGCCAGCTCCATGATCCTTGCTATACTTGAGCCATGGTCGCAGCCACTGTGTCAATCCATCTCGTTGAAGGTCTTCCCCTCTTTCATCGACCCTCCACATTACCAAGCATGACATCCTTCTCCAGGGAATGGTCCCTTCTGACACGTGACCTGGGTTCCCTCTCCTCATCTGGATCCCTGCAGCTGACTCCTCGATCTGTTTTATCTTAGAAATTTAATAGAGAAATACTCAGGTTTGATATTTATAAACTCATTTAGTTTATTGCAAGGTAGTCATGGTAAGGCATGCAAGTAAAGTCTCACATCATTCCTTTAGAAACAGAGAATTAGAATTAATGTTACTGGTAGAAAGCCTAACAAAGGTACAGATATTTCTAAGTTCATATTATGAGTGCTTATACATATATAGAGAACTCTGGTGGTGTAGTGCCTAAGGCACTTGACTGCTACCCAGAAGGCTGGAGGTTCAGTCCCACGAACCACTCCTTGGGAGGAAGATTGGGCAATCTACTTCCGTAGAGATACCAGCTTGGAAACCCAAGGAGGGGTCGCTATGAGTTGGAAATGACCCGATGGCAGTGAGGGTTTTCTTTTTTTAATATACATATGTATTTCAAAAATGTAATATAATAGTGTCTTCTACTTTGTAGGATTAGAGATCATTATAGAAACATACAAAACAGTGTCAAAGAATTTTTAGGCATTTCCTAAAAACCACCAGTTCTATACCCAGATATAGGCTTCAGATAGAAAATGCCCTCACTAGTCCGTGGTGGACCTGGAACTTCATATTCCAGAAGACTCCAGAATCCTAGCAAATGTCCTTGCTGAGGAGTTAGAAGAGATCAGAATAACCTTTAATTTCTGCCTGCTTTATGAAAGAAAAACAGGCCTTTCTACCATCTCCCCAGTTTTTTTATTTATCTATTTAATTACTCTCTTTCTTTATTATTCTGTAGCCAATGGAGGTTTATCCAGATCTCATTCCCACTTTACTTTCAGCCAAAGATTATGGAAAGCATTCTGAAACTATATCCACCAGCTCAGTACTGTCCACCAATACCTGGTACCATTGGAAAAGATAATCTTCCAAGAGATAGTAAGGGAGTGAGTAACTTGTGCCCTGTCTAAACCCTACAGACTATTATCAGGGTCACATACAAAATACACATGTGAAAATATTTTAGAAATGGTAAAGCTTTTGAAACCGAGTAAAGTAAAAACTATTTCTCCCACCCTGGTTAAGGCAGATAATTAGAGAAAACCCTGGTTGGTAATAGATAAGTAAACTAAATTACCCTCAACTATTTCCCCCACCCTGGACTCCAGTTGGAGACAGATGAGTACTCAATTCCTTAAAAACTGAATGGAAAGAAAACATTCTTCCCTGCTATTTCCTTAGCCACAGATGATAGACATGTTAATGTGTCTTAGAAAACAACTTGTAAATTAACTCTGGCCCACTGACCCAAATTCCTGAAATTTTTTGTGAATATGCATAACTCCCTCTACTGAAACCTACAAAAATTGTAATTTGATGGCATTTCAGGGAGTCAGATCTGGGTACGAGCATACCCCTACTCCTTGCATTGCTGCTTTGCAATGAATAATTTTCTCTCGTACTCACTCGGTTTGTAAACTGTTTTGGCCTGACTATGCACGGGGCAGGGACCCGCGTTTGGTACTATAACACTTTATATAATTGTTGTTGTCAGTATTATATCTGTTCACTGTGGAAATAAAACATAGTGGTGACTAAACATGTCTGGGATGAACTGTGTGATACAGGACCTGGGAGTGGTCAGCAGAAACCTGAGATTGAGTGTGAGCTATCTCCTGTCTGAAAGTGAAGGCAGATTAAAGGGAGTATTGGAATTTAAATATAAGATTATCTGAGGAATTATTATATAGGAGATAAAAGAGACCATTTTATCTCTTGGGCTAAAACTGTACTTATTTATGAAGCATATTTATTTAAGGTAAGAAACAAATGGGCTGACATCTCTCTGGGCTTTCTTTCTAGGATGCTAATATATCTATCCATTCTGAACTCTGAGGAACAAATGAAATAATATATGCAAGTGCTTTGTGAATTTTAAAGCAAAGAATGCATAACAGATTAGCAAACTCATTCATTAAACAAGTATTTATAGCGCACCTGTTCAGTGTTGGTCTGTTTTATTCCAGGGATACAATAGTGAATGGAACAAGAAAACTTTGGCCTGTGATGTGTGTATTCCATAGGAAGATAAAGCGAGTATAATTTGATTTTTAAAACTTTGATTCACACAGATTTTGGGGAACAAGTGTCTCCTGGATCTAGTGTTTCAAACACATAAGTATGTCATGTAAGAGATACAGAATCATAAGGAAGCCATCAGAGTGGTAAGCTGCTGTTCTAAAGAATTCCACTGTGGCTTATACTGCAGTGAAGTCACTAATATAAGGGCAGGCAATCACCTTTCAGGGCTCAGCAACTAGAATTTGATGGCAGAGGAGCAATCCACAGGCATGTACCTGTATTATTATCTTCCTGGAAAGTGGCAAAAATAAAAACCGGTGGATGGGCTAATTTTCTAATTTTATGGTATCACGATCTTGGAGTGAAATGTGAAGGATAGTAAACATTTCAGAGCAAGAATAGTAAACACTTCAGAGCTTTATCTATAGGGTTGCCAGAAGACAAATTACTGATAGACAAGAAATGCAATTCGCATGAGAATTAATACTAAACACTAACACCTTCTATAAAGTGCCAGCCATATTCAGGTTTTGTTTGTTCCTTTTGTAGATATATAAGATTCAGTGGGGGACAAATTTAAGTCAATTTAACTATGGCTAGATCCTGGGCAAAACACCCACATCCCCTGAGTTCACTTAGTCACACATACACAGGAACAAGTGGAAAATTGTTTCCGTTTGTATTCTGGATTGGGAAGGGGATACAAGTATCAATTCTCTGAATCCCATTGACAGTCATCTAGTACCCAGGTAGGTCAGGAATTTTATCTGTGGTTTTCATCTGTATAGTTGCTTTAAAATAGCTGATGTGAAATGAACATTAATTTCTTTTACATGAGACAAATGCCCCTATTGTGTAGTTTAGTAAAGTAACACTTATGTTGTTGAAGGTAGTGTAGTAGCTTCCTAAAGTTCCTCCCCTTTCAGACATTTTGACCCGCAATCTCGTAGTGTTCACAGCTACTTTAATCGAGAAGATGAGTGGCTCTGAAAAGAGCCTTTGGGAAGGCAAAAATCTTAGCTACATCAGGTGGAGAACAGCTTAAGCTCGTTCCCCACGGATGCGGCGGGCCAGCTGGATGTCTTTAGGCATGATGGTCACGCGCTTGGCGTGGATCGCGCACAGGTTGGTGTCCTCAAAGAGCCCCACCAGGTAGGCCTCGCACGCCTCTTGCAGCGCCATCACGGCGGAGCTCTGGAAGCGTAGGTCAGTCTTGAAATCCTGAGCGATCTCACGCACCAGCCGCTGGAACGGCAGCTTGCGAATCAGCAGCTCAGTAGACTTTTGGTACCGACGGATTTCGCGCAGCGCCACAGTGCCCGGCCGGTAGCGATGAGGTTTCTTCACGCCACCGGTGGCGGGGGCGCTCTTGCGGGCAGCCTTAGTAGCCAGCTGCTTGCGCGGGGCCTTGCCGCCAGTAGACTTACGAGCTGTCTGCTTGGTACGAGCCATAACTGTAAGAGTTACACCTTACTAAAAGACGACTGAGCAGCGGCTCCTGGGACTAGAATTTATACTCACGTTCTGATCCTGATTGGTCAGAATTGTTACAGCAGTAACCTGATTGGTTCTTGTATCAGGCTTTATTTGGTTCCTCCCACCCTCTCTGAACTGTTTCGTTTTCCATGCTTATTCATTTATTTATTTCCTATTTTTACAGGAAAGAAATTATTGGTGCACTACATACTGTTTGAATTTACGGACTTCAACTTTATTACGATTTCACCACAGAAAGGGAGGCTGACCCGTTATTTGTGGAAGTTAGCGTGTAAACTATTCTTAAAGAAAGGCCTTTTTCTTTTTCCTTTTCAGATAATGAGGGGAAAAAAAATCCAGAAGTGTATTATTGTATTATTTAGTCTCTTAAAGTTCTGTTCCATGTTCCATCACTGCATCATCATGCTCTGCTTTTAATGACCATACGAAAACTTTGGACAAAGATGGTTTAAAAACACTCTGGCAGAGCGCGCTCTGCCTAGGGCAGCGGAACTATACCAACGTGATGTTAAGGAAAGAGGTCTTGATGTATGTTCTATCATATACCAATGCTTAATTCTTTTCACTAAGTGATTTTGATGCAAACAGCTGATTAAGTATTCAATACGAATCTTAATCAGTATGTATGAGGTTATAGGTTTGGATTGATTAGTGATTAGAAGTGTTCCAGTAAATATGGGTGGCATCGAGAAACAGCGTTTGGATTAGGGCTGAGGTTTTAGTTGACCAAAAGATCTATTAGCAACCCACAAATAAAATAAGTATTTTGAACATTCTTTCCTGGAGCAAATGGTTACAGCATTATTTTCAGCAACAGAGGACGGGACGGAGAACAATAAAGGCGAGCTGTATGTCCACGCTTTAATCTAGCTCGTTATCTGTGAATGGCTCAAAAGACACATTGTGTTCAGTTCTTATTTAGAATTGATTGATGGCTCTGAAAAGAGCCTTTGGTTTAGTTATGAGGCTTAAACAGGTGGTGGATTCCGAATTTATTTGCCCTTTGCTTTGTGGTGACTTTCAGTCTTCTTGGGCAACAGAACGGCCTGGATGTTAGGCAGGACGCCGCCCTGGGCGATGGTGACTTTGCCTAGCAGCTTGTTCAGCTCCTCGTCGTTGCGGATAGCTAACTGTAGGTGACGCGGAATGATACGGGTCTTCTTGTTGTCGCGGGCTGCGTTGCCCGCCAGCTCTAGAATCTCAGCATCAGGTACTCTAGCACCGCCGCCAGATATACCGGAGCGCCAGCCCCAACTCGCTCGGCATAGTTCCCCTTGCGAAGCAAGCGATGTACACGGCCTACGGGAAACTGGAGACCGGCGCGAGAAGACCGGGTCTTAGCTTTGGCACGAGCCTTACCTCCTTGTTTGCCCCGTCCAGACATTACTAAGTAATTCGGACTTGTGCCAAAAGTGTAGACTGGTCATCAAAACGCACTTTTTATAGCCACTGTGGGGCGCGAAAACAAAGCTATGCCATTGGCTAGACGGCCCTTTCATCATAACCAATGCAAATACAGTTTTTTAAAAATTCATGTTATGACTGGACAACATTGAAGGTCGTGTCATTCCCGAAGAGCCGCCAATCAGGCAGAACTTTACTCACCGTCATTTGCATATGACGCTATAGACCACAGAACGCAAGCAGTCCACTGTTCCATTTTAGTATTTTTTCCTTTCTCAATCATGCCTGAACTGGCTAAGTCAGTTCCGGCCTCGAAGAAAGGTTCCAAGAAAGCAGTGACCAAGGCTCAGAAGAAGGACGGTAAGAAGCGGAAGCGCAGACGCAAGGAGTGTTACTCTATATTCGTATACAAAGTCTTAAGCAGGTCCATCCAGACACCAGTATCTAGTCCAAGGCCATGTTGTTGTTAGGTGCTGTCCAGTCGGCCCCGACTCAGCGACCCCTCCTTGGGTTTTCGAGGCGATATCACTATGGAAATAGATTGCCCAACCTTCCTTCCGAGGAGTGATTGGTGGGTTTGAACCGCCAGCCTTCTGGTTAGTAGTCAAGTGCCTTAGGCACTATGCTACCAGAGCCTTAGGCACTATGCTACTATGTCCAAGGCCATGGCCATCATGAATTCGTTGTCAACGACATCTTCCAGCGCATAGCAGGCGACGCATCCCGCCTGGCGCATTACAACAAGCGCTCGACCATCACGTGCAGGGAGATCCAGACCTCTGTGCGGCTGCTGCTGCCAGGGGAGCTGGCCAAGCACGCCGAGTACGAGGGCACCAAGGCCGTAACCAAGTACACCAGCGCCAAGTGAGCTGCCTGCTGCAGTTTATATCTTAAAGGCTGTTTTCAGAGCCACCCACACTAAGAAAATAGCTGGTCCTTTTTGCCGGAGGTCTTGTTTCTGTGGTGAGAGGGGGAGGGCCTTCGGGACTGGTTGAAAGAGAAAAATAGGAGGAAAAGGGGAAATGAAAAAAGACACAAATTCTCGTGTGTGACATGCAGATTTAGTCTTTTTTGACACCCTTTGAAATTTACCCTTGCAGTTTTGCTACGCTGCAATAGCAAAAATTTCCCGTTCTGTTAATTATCAAGGCAAGCAACAGCTGCTGTATTGTTGGGCAGCAGTACTATTTGAAAAGCCCGCCACGAGCTGCAATTGGCTAGTTTGTCATTTTGATTAAGCCGGGCTTTGCAGACAAGAGTCGGAAGCTGAAAGTTAACTGTTTGATTTCCTGCAGTCGGATTCTGGTCTATTTCCCACACACGTCAAAATAGGGACTGTAACAGCCCTGACTGCAGCACGGAGTGTTGGCGACAACATGTGTGCAAAGTAGAACTGCTCCATATGGTTTTCAATGCTGTCATCTTTCCGAATAATGTCTTGTTTGTCTTCCGGGGCGCGTCGTGGTGGATTTGTACCGTCAGTCTTTGGGCTAGTAGTCCAGTGCTCAATGATTTATGTCAAAACGTGGCGTGAACAATAAAGATCAGGGAAGTTCCTTAAGGATGAAATGTTAAGCAGCGAACCCAGTAATTTGGGAAAGCGGCCTCTTATAATGTTTTCATCAGACATCTAGGCCAGGATTTGCCTGGGCAAGGGAGCTGCTTTCAGGCTGCAATTTTAAGTTCGTGATTAGGAATTCTGGAACAAAAGTGGGAGAACCCAGTGTTTTAGGAGAATCCGGGCCCAGAAAAGGTCACAGATTTAGGAGGCGGGCCAAAAGCTTGGCGCTAGCTAAGAATACTAGGGAGTGGACAGATAGTTTTCACTTAAATTAGAAAACTTTAACCCCTTGCAATCTCTCAGTAGTGTCTAAATTCTCCTTTCTTCCATTTTAGTGTTAAAATCTTCCGCTACCACGCCATCCCCTTCCTCAAGTAAATGATTGCTATCGTAAATCTTATTTATTTTTCTCCAAACAGAAACAAGAAACTCCAGCCTCATCCTCATTCTAGGCTTCAATCCCTCCCCCCTCCTGCAGCCGCCGCCATTTCCTTTTCCGTTTTTTTCCTATTGTCTCTTCCCTTAAAGTTGGGAGTGGCCGCTCAACCTTGAACAGTCTTGACCCTGTCACAGGCAAAAACTCCTCTGAAGTCTTGTCACCAAGTCAGTAAGTCATGCAAAGTATAGAGTTTGTCGTTCACTTCCCTAAAATGAAGTTCTCCAGTCTCTGCGTCCCAGTCTCTGAAGCTCCGTGCCTTGGGGGCTGGGGACAGAGCTCACGACAAGCTACACTGCTTGGTGGAGAGAGTTTCTCTTAATTCCTTGTGTTCCAGAAGTCATCCGCATCTCTTTCAAGCCTTGCTTTCTTACCAAGATTCCCCTGCTCCCTCCCCCGGCCTCTTTCCCCGCCTCGCCCCCCGCCCCGTCCTCCTTCAGGAATCATCTAAGTGATTCCCGTGGAGTGGCTGAACACAGACTATTGCCATCTTCTGCCATCTTCTGGCAAAAAGGCAGAAGGCATTTTGCCTTCCAGACCCGTTTTAAATGCTTCCTTTGTACCTAAGGCACTTGACTGCTAACCAGAAGGCTGGCTGTTCAAACCCATCAGCCACTCCTGGGGAGGACGATTGCGCAGTCTACTTCCTTAGTGATGCCTCCTCGGAAATCCAAGGAGGGGTCGCTATGAATAGGGTCCGACTCCTCGGCAGTTAGTTTGGTTTTTGGTTTGGTTTCTAACCTCAGCGTTCTACTGACAATGTGTGTGTGTGTTTTGCGGAAGAAGGGGGGACATTCTGCCATTTCTGTCTCCCTTTAACCGCTGGATTTAAATTACTTTCTCCAAGATTCACTCATGGGCCCCCGTGGGTGGGTGGGTGCCTATGTGTAGGACAGAGTGAAGGCGGAAAAGCAGAATTAATTGTGTTGTGTTAAGAGTTTTGTTGCCTGGTGACAGCTTTCCCTTCTCCCTCACACACACACACACACACACACACACACACACACAAACCTGTAACACTTTGAATGCTTTAATTAAAAAAAAATAGGGTCTGTTCTTTAGTTCTGGTTCTAAAAATAATAAACACTTGAGTGTTTTCTGTAAACCTGAACAGCTAGGCTGCTGTTTGAAAACCTGTCATGACTTTTATGAATATGATAATTATGTAAGTTGCAGTTTTTCCACCATGAACAGATCTGTAGTAACCAGGCAACCTTGGTCATTTTGCAATTTTGTTTGTTTTTAAAATACTTTTGTGATATTTTCCCAAAGCCTGACTCTCTTGTCCTCTTTGCAAGTAGAATTCTTCTTTCCTTTCCAAATGTTTCTCTTAGTCGTCCTTCGACAGCGCCTACTTCCCAACCATGGGCTGCCAGAAGAATGAACAGATCTGTCCTGGAAAAAGTACAGCCTGAATGCTCCTTAGAAGGCGGAATAGCCAGACTTCCTCTCACTTACTTTGGTCATGTTGTCAGAAGAGACCTTTACCTGGAGAAGGATGTCATGCTTGGCAAAGTGGAGGGTCAGTGAAAAAGGGGAAGACCCTTGAGAGGG